TTTAATCAGATAATTATTGAATTGTTAGCAGTGAACGTTTCGTTGATTGAAGTGACGTTGCAGGAGAATAACATTAAGGCATCATTGATAGTCACAGTAATAATAAGCATATGAATGAGAGTAGAGATGATGACGGTATTTTTACAGCTATTACCATCATTATTCGAAAAATGCGTTTCCAGCATTAGTTCACTACTTAAAGCATCATATCACAATACCATTTTGAAAACGCAATAAATCATTAATAAACTGTCCCATCAGTAAAGAACACTCAAACAAATTCATCAACTTACTTCTCGTGTGTAATTCGGTGTATTACTGGCAGATAAGAGTGCTGATTCGCTGAGACCGCAATGAAAAAAATTCGTTATCTGAGTTGATTTATAACCAAGTTCTCGAGCTTGAACAAGAGATGTTACGATTGGTTTTATCTGTGGACTGACGTCGAACAACTGATGACTCGACGATGGTGCTGGTGGTTGCTTTGCAGTCATTTGGAACTGAGATAGTCGATCGGTTTCACGGCGGACCCGTTCATAATCCCTCTTTCGAAATCCAATCGCCTAAATTCCAGTTTAAATAACCATTCTTTATTATTTTTGGTGAAACTGATTATTAATTTATGCATTAATGACCAACATCTAATGAATTTGTCGCATGTATGTAAATATTTACAAATTGTTCAAGTCGCAGAACACATCAACTGAATGGTCGAGGGGCGAAGGAGAGGAATATGGCACTGAACGTGGAGATAAGTACGAAGAGGTATTTGAAATGCAATTTGTGTGAATGAATACCGATCCACTGGCATCCGACTGAATACGATAATATCGTTTCGTTGATGGATCGTACGCAAAGCCGCATATATCACTCTCTTCAATTGATGAACTCTTCACTTCTGTACCAACGGAAGATGGCAAATGAGACTGTGACTGAGGATGAGAGTGTGGCTGTGAATGAGCTTCAGATTCCTCTCTTTCATCATCGACCTCCATCCGAAACGATAACGAAGACGCATTTGCTTCATCCATGCTTAAATCCTTCAGGTTTTATTTCATTTGGTGATTCAACTGAATTATGACATTCTCACAATCAATTACAAACATCAACTCAAGGAAACATCTATTGTTTAACAGAAACACATACAATTCTCAAATGTCATTCGTCATTTCAACAACATCATTTTTTATGCGCCTGGTTACCGTTCAGATTAAGCATTTTGCGATGACACAATAAGTTTATGATAGGCATCATTATTTTTCATGGATATTGCGGCATTCAACGCGATTATCTTGAATGCAAAAATCTAAGGAAATAACCAGATTTTAATGTCCTTTACTCTTTCATTGTATTTTACTCTCAGTGGTATCGTGCTAAGCAGATTATCACTGATGTCATTCAATAGATAAATGGTATTTTCAATGGTGAAACGTTGATGAGGACCAAAAAACAAACAGCACTATCGTTTCAATTGCCAACATTCAAGCAAAAATGTGAAATACCTATTTCGAATCGTTTCGCGAGATCGTCTTCTACTATATTTATTCCGTTTGAATGACTGCTTATTGTGATTATTGGTGAAACTGTTATAATTGGTGGTGCTGTTGTTACTGCTATTCGTATTCGAATTTGCACGTCCGCGTTGTGACTGTCGTTGAGTGTACAGCTGAGATCCAACAGAAGGTAAACGTTGCGGGTATTGTGTTGGGTAAGTGATCACTGATGCTGGCGGATAGTGCGAATTCGGACGAGAATAAGCATTCGATCCTTCAATTTCAACATTTTTCACGTATCGATCTTCTCCAATCCAACAAATGATTTGATTTCTTTTGCTGTTCATAGCATTTTCCTAATTTATGCGCCTTTATTTGTTCATTTTCCAAGCATTAAGCCCATCAGCATACAAGTTCTCAAGATAACTCTAACCAAAAACAGTGGATTGATACCAAACATATTCCGAACAC